AATAAAATGACAGGAGGTGACAGAATTTAGTGTTTATAAATGAGATCTTCAATAACTTTAATAATTCAGAAAAAATTCAAAGTGTATTTAAAAGTTGAGACCATGCTTTACAATATTTTATAATAATAAAAAAAGGCATTAGGCTTTTAAAGGTGATATACGACTTAATAGTTTTTCAAATGATTTCAAAATGGGTTTCTAGATCTTTACGTGGACATTAAAAAAAAATCAAGAACTTTGGCAAGCCAAGTATTAATCCATAGCAGCTTGGTAAAAGTTTACTTTATATAAAGATTCTTCAATTTACATTTGTTCTTGTTACAGAAGCAGAAAAAACTAACAGGCTAATTGTATTTCAGAAGTCTGTAAGCTATACAGCAAAAATAATTATCTTAATAAAGCCTGAATTCTATGAAAATGTGCACCACACTGCATATAGTAACGGAGTAAATGTAAACCATGTGATTATTAACTCTTCTACATAAAATACTCAACTCCCGAATCTCACACCATCCCCTAAGTCTACATGGCTTTTTTGAGGGCAGCCTCAAGCTTTAAACCAATATACATTTGCTATTTGAAAAAGTTCTCCTCTCCATTATTAAAATGTTTCTATAAAGGCCTTAGACATTTTAATTTTTAGTACTCTGGTAACAAAAGACCAATAAATGATGGCAACCTTTAGAAAAAACTTCTGAGGCTAGAGATCATCAAATCTGGGGGTTTTGTCTCCAATCCCTAGATCTTGCTACTTCAAGACCCACAGCTCTAAGAAGAAAACTCAGAATTTTCTACTTCTAAAAAAATATTTTGTCATGAATAACAGAAAAATTAGATTTCTAGGAAAATAAGCCTTTTAAATTAAGATTTAGCAATATCATCTATAAAGAATTTACTTCCAATCATTTATGAATGACAGAAGAGAAATCGGTTAAACGTTTACATACAAAAGATATAAATACTGCATATTATGTAGTGAATATTGGCACAAACCCTTCTGTATTTAAAGCACAAAATGCACTCAGCAAATCTGATGCTCTTAAGTGTGTTTCTTAAGATACATTTATGAAACAGCTCAAGAAACTTATACACGGCATGGAAATTTCTCACAATTCAAGGCTTTCCGATGGGTTTGTAGCAAGCATCAGGTTGCCAAAGGCGAATATCAACAAGAACTTGATTGAGCTTTTGCATCCAGAGATCCCGCTCTTCTTTAGTATCTGCAGACAGCCAGTTCCTACAGGAGCAGAGAACAAGAGGTCAGGATTCTCTTCCCCTTATTCCATACCTCCATGTACTCTTGCTAGGAAAAAAAATGACTAAACAAACCAGTAAAATGGGTTACTCTTTATCAACTCTACGGATGGTAATCAGGGCCACATAATGAGGTGCTTCTCAAGTCCAATAGAGTGAAATTATCCTCAGTTTGGTTACGGGAATCATAGGACCTTCACCTGGCTTTACCGGTAATACTATTTTGCACTACCTCCCATTATTTTTGTCCTACCATTTTAGCAGAACATGGTATTTACAATAAATTATCTAAAGATCCTAAGACTTCGTGTGTCCTAACCTCTCTGTCTCTATCAAGAATCTCTTCCTTGCATTCATATTTACCTACAAGTTGAATGAATGAATAACTAGTTGATGGGGCAGGCAGGGCTAGGGAAGGAGGGAATTCCCTAACTCGTAGCCAGACCATCACACTGTACTCGTTATGCATCTTTACAGTTTCTCCCCATTGGTTCTAGCAATGATATAAGCATAAATGAGTGGTGAGTTGATCATCTCCTAGTAGTCAATGGAGAGAATACTATACTTAAAATAATAATTGTGCCTATTTGTTTAATTCCATACACTCAACACTGTGCTAAGTGTTGGGTATGTCTAACAGGTATGTCTACCCATTAATGCCTATTGTTACTCTGTGCAGTTTGTTCATCCCTTTTGACACAGGAGAATTCAGAGAACCAGCAAATTAAGTGGCCTGCCATGGTTACATTTGGTAAGTCACTAAGTCGAAATTTAAAAACTTAGGTCCAAAGCTCCACTGCAAAATATTGCCTCCCCATGTGATAAAGCATTTATAGTTCAAATGTGTGGTCACTATTTTGAAGTAGGCAATATTGATCATAAAAGAAATCTTTTACATTGAAGAAGGGAAAGCTAGCTAGCTCAGTAAAAATGAAAATGAGATACATTGAATTCAGATAAAAGGTATTGGTCAAAAAGACTCTGTAAGGAAACAGATCAACACAACAAAGGAGAACACAGAACTACAGAATGTTTATTATTCTTATGATTAAAAAAGTGAAATAAGTGCAGGCCACCAAGCAAAACTCAAGACTCAGCCACGACTGAATTGAGAATGCACCACTCTCACATGCTTGGGCAAAGGAGCACCCATCCCAGTTATGATAATGTTATAATGAGAAAAACTACAAGTAAATGAGGTACAGAGTAAGCACAGCATCATATGATCTACTGTTTCTACCACAGGGAAAGGTCTATAGAGAAGTCTAAGAGGGTTTATGCAGCCGGTAAAAAAATAAAGTTATCTGAAAAACGCGAGTAAAATTGAACAGGGCTGAAGTGGGCTGCTGTGGCGAGGAACTAATTGGGTACTGCACTTTGGTTGGTTGCCCACTGACTGCAGCGATAGACAGGGTAGCCATCAAACAAACAGTTATAAATCTATTTTGCCTCTCTTGCACCATCTGATACCACTGCTACATAGAAGGTTCCCAAAGGAAAGGAATGGATGAGTTAAAATGAATTCCCATCTGGAAGAATCTAGTCATCAAGAATTTCCAAAGTATGGGTCCTCTATCTAGCTGTTTTGAAACAAATTGGCAGTCTCTTGGCAACTTTGTTTTATTTTAGTGCAGTGTCTCTTGGCTGTAGCTTTCTAATAGTTTCACATTAGAAACTTATGAAGCTAGTTCTACCCATCTCCCAGTCTACAATATCCAGCAATATCCAGATTACTAAAAATTTTGTCAAATTCTAACTTTTGTCACCTAATCACAACTTTGTACATTGAAGGTGGTCTTCAAATTTCCCTTGAGCATCCAAGCAAAAGAATGTATCTTATACTTTTAGTAATAAGCTTTTCCATCTTATACTTAAGCTCAGGGTTAATAAAAAAAAGTGATACTCCCCAGAGTTTTATTCTGTTAATCTTCAACCAGAAATATGCATGACAGAATGAGACTGTTTTTGTATGTCACCTGATTAAATGAGAGTATTTTGGGAATAGAAAGGAAGGGATGTATAAAGTCTGTTTGAATGATGCTTGACTTTTCAAACTACACATGAAGTCAGTCTGTCTGTCTGTCTGTCTATCTATCTATCTATCTATCTATCTATCTATCTATTTATTGATTGATATAGGGTCTCAGCTCTATCGCCTGGGCTAGAGTGTAGTGGCATCATCATTACTCACTATAACCTCCAACTCCTGGGCTCAAGCGATCCTCTTGCCTCAGCCTCCCAAGTAGCTGGGACTATAGGCACATGCAACCACACTTGGCTAATTTTTAAATTTTTTGTAAAGATGAAATTTCACTATGTTGTTCAGGCTGCTCTCAAACTCCTGGCCTCAAAGCAATCCTCCCACCTCAGCCTCCCAAAGTGCTGGGATTACAGGCATGAGGCACTGAGCCCAGCCTCAACTACACATAAAGTCTTTAAACTTAACCCAAAAATTATTAGCTAACTGCCTTGGAAATGCCAACACTGTGAGTATATTAGAAACCATGATTAGCTAAGATATAACTAATCTTATAACTAATATTATGCTTTTCTTAACTATATTATTCTAGTTGTTATAGATTATTCTCTTATTGCTGTGGTGCTTGTTTTCTCACTAACATTACATACTTTTTGAAGGTAAGGACCATCTCTGATATTTCTTAGAGTGGTAAGAACATAGTGGGCAATCGATTATTTAGTTGACAGCAATATTTATAGACCAATACATACTTGGTGACACAGAGTGTATCCCTGCATTGGCTGACAAGAGTCTCTCGGTCATCTTCTCTCTGTGGTCGGACGGTAATTAATTCAAAAGTGTTGCGTCTTGCACAAAATTCTCTGTTGGCTGGTTCTATCTGATGGCTGGTACAATTGGCCAGATTTATCCTTCCTATGGGATTCTTTAAAAACAAATTTTAAAAATATTAGGTAGAAAATAAAACTACTAAGTCATTAAGCAGTGTTTATGTTAGTACGAATTAAAATTTAAAAGCCATTAATTTAAAAATTAAAATTTA